TTATTTTGAGTGAGTGAGTGAGAGAGAGAGAGAGAGCACGAGGAGAAAAGTGACAGAAAGAAAGGGAGAGAGAGAGGATCCCAAGCAGGCTCTGCACTGCCAGCACAGAGCCTGACATGGGGCTCAAACTCAAAAAACGTGAGATCGTGACCTGAGCCGAAACCAAGAGTTAGAGGCTTAACCAACTGAGCAACCCAGGCGCCCCTCACAGCTTACATTCTAGTGGGAGGAATGTAGGGAGACAAACAAAGAGGAAAGAGTTTCCCTCCCAAGCTTTAGGAACCTAAAAGTCAGGAACAAGAAAAGGGCAGAAAAAAAGCACCCAGTAAGAGATGGGCTACTATCAGAAGGCTAGCAGCACCTACCTCTGCAATACACGTAAGTATAATCAAACAGAGTTTGCCACTGTGAAGTCGGTGCTCATCTGTAAAGAAAAAATAAACCCTTCTCTCCATATCATCCAAACCATGTTTCTATACAGAAAAAGATATGTATCATCAAAATGAACGTTTCTACTTTCCCCTTCTTTCACAAAATTCCTGAATGAAAATCAAGGCTCTACTTGCGTTAATTCTTGCTTTTCTACTTGGCAAAAGAATTCCCCCAGAAGATTTTTTTTCTAAAATATTCTGGCAGTCTGATGGTCCACTAACCACCTTCCTGAGAGCCATCTACTTAATATAATGGTTCCTACTGTCATGGCCCACATTAGGGCCATGCCCTTTGTTTCCATATCAACCCTTTGCTTCTAAATAGTCAGGTCCTTTCCCCACCCCTCCCACCTACCAGCTAGAAGCACCACCATCTATATCCACCTCCCACAAAATCTGGAAAGGTTTTATAACTGTACATAGCAAACTGGCAGTGGAATCAGAAACAAATTACTTGAAGAACAGGGTCCACCCCCTGCCTTTCCTTGTACTGTGCACACTATTTATGATCAGAAAAGCTGTGAACTCTTCATCACTTTTCTTTCCTTCCTGCCAAAGTTATTCATTCTACAAATATTTACTTAGTACCTACTATGTGGCAGGCACTGTGCTAGGCATTACAGATACAGCACTGAACTAAACAAAGGTCCCTGGTCTCCCAGGACCCACATTCTAGTTATTAAAAAAGAAGGTAACCGGGGCGCCTGGGTGGCTCAGTCGGTTTAGCGTCCGACTTCGGCTCAGGTCATGATCTCACGGTCCATGAGTTCAAGCCCCGCGTCAGGCTCTGTGCTGACAGCTCAGAGCCTGGAGCCTGTTTCAGATTCTGTGTCTCCCTCTCTCTCTGACCCTCCCCCGTTCATGCTCTGTCTCTCCCTGTCTCAAAAATAAATAAACGTTAAAAAAAAATTTTTTTTTAATAAAACGAAAAATAAAAATAAAAAAGAAGGTAACCTCAACAGCAGGGCTCTAGGCCCACACAAATGACCAAGAAAGAACTACTCCATCACTGCCAATTACCAGAACCATGAAAGCTTATTTACTTTCCAAGATCTTTGTGGGTGAGGAGGTGAAATGGAAGCAAAAAGAGGGTTCATGCCAAGATATCCAAAAAGGACAAATGGTTTATGATGTTTCAAATTAGCTTTAACAGGACCCGGATTGAAGTCCATTCCGAGAGAAGATCTATTAACAGATTACAGTGCTATAGAAATGAGCTAAGAGAACTCACCCTGACATTAACCTGCTACTGCCTCAAAGATAAAACAACTAAAACCTGACAATTAGAAGGCATAATGGGGGTTGTAGTCCAGAAATACATTCATCTCTTCTCATAGACAATGCAAATACAGTAATAATACTTACCTGACATTCCCCAGAGCTTACATCAGAGTTCCTAGGCAGCCAGAAGAGAAATGCCCCTGCCTGTGCAAAACTAGATTCATGAGACTCTTCTACTATCTGCAATTTCTCTGGCACTACCCTCCCTTTCCTCAAAAGCTGATAAGCAACTCCTGTAAAAAAAGCCTGCAGCTATCTCTCCACTTAAGAAAAAAAAAGTGTTTCTGAATACAAAACGAAGGCATATTTCATTATAAACTTTTTTTAACTCAGAAAAGCACAAAAAAAGGACAACAAAAAACAAGTTTAATCACCCCACCCATTTGTCCTAACTGGTAAAATTTTGGTGAATCAACTTTAAAGTCTGCATAGATATACATATATACACATATACATTTTAGATATACATATATATTTTTAATATTTTTGCCTACTGTCTATTTTTATCTTAGAGAGCAAGAGCACACGTGCACGAGCAGGGGAGAGGCAAAGGAAGGTGGCAGGGGGCAGAGGGCGATTGGGAGGGGCAGAGGGAGAGACAGAATCTTAAGCAGGCTCCATGACCAGTGCAGACCCCAAGGTGGGGCTCGATCCCACAACCCTGGGATCATGACCTGAGCCGAAATCAAGAGTTGGATGCTCAACTGACTGAGCCACCCTGGCATGCCCTGCCTAACGTCTATTTTTAAGATTAATCAGATACTCCTTCAAGGTAACAATACCCCAAATTAGAAGAACCTCAGGAGAAAAAGGCTTTGAAAGCAGAGCTGAATCAAAGGAATGATAAAATTTTGGAGAATGGAGAGGAGAGGAACAACTGGGTAGAGGACACACAGGTAGCTTCAAAAGCATGATTTCTTCAGGTTGAGTAGCAGGTTTATATATGTTTGTTTTATTATGCTTCATAACTTGTGCTATTTGTTATGCTTACTATAAGCCTCATAATTTAATATTCATACATATAAGAAGTATCTTTTTATAGGTATCAAATAATATATAATAAAGAAGAAAGAGCTAATATCTGGATAGGGGGACAGAGCAGAGCCAAGACAAAGTTGCTTCTATTGCTCCTAAAATCATAATGAGATCCTATCAGTCAGGGCATACAGAAGGTCAGGGGATTAACACATAGCAAGAGCTGGGCCAATGTAGCACAGGAGACATTTTTCTTCTTCTGTTCCTCACTCCCTCAGCCTCACAGGAGCCATGTTTGACGTTAATTCTCCATCATACCTAACACTGCCCCTTGCCATATTTAGGCTGACTGTTGGCAAAGACCAATCCCAGCCTGAGTTCAGAGAGACAGGCTGAGACCACGATGCTACCATTAATCTGCCCTCAACTTTGCCTTCTATTTTATGTACGACGAAGTGACCAGGACAAAGAAGTTTATAAAATCATTAGAGCTGAAAGTAAGTTCCACGGGCCTCAGTTCACTGTTACATAGCAAGCAAAGCTACAAGTTCATTTGCAGGGTCCCATCTATACAGTCTTTTCTGTGGTTGCTATGACATTTCTAGAGAAAGGAAGAGGTTATCTCCCTCCACAAAGGAGAAGCCAGGGCCCCAGGAAACATAAATACACAAAAATCTTGTTATCCTGGCCTGCCAGATCTCACCTGCTGAGTCTCAGAGGCCCACCAACCATCTCTGCCGCTCCGCTCAGAGTGGACTGAGATACATACTGGATAGAATCTGCTGGGTTTCCTCCCAATCCCCTCTCACGCCTAGCCCAACTATTACCCTTCCCTACTACCAGTTAAAAGACTATAGATGTAACAGATGAAGAACAGGAGACCAGAGACAACAAACTCAAACTTTTCCAACAGCCACTCCCCTCCTGCTTCCACTCTACATCTCTAGATGGGTAAGGACACTTCTGTTTTAAGCGTTAAGGAACACTGTCCTTCTCAATCTCACCTCTTCCTACGGTACTCAGTACAATAGTCCACGAATTCTCACCACAAGCTGATGCTTCCAATTCTTGTCCTCAAAAGGGAAGTCCCTGATGCATGCTAATCCCTCCCCTTCCCACACAATAGACTTTGCATCTACTTACCAAAATCTGCTAAAATCACTTGCTAGTTTTTGTAAAGACCAATTTTTTTTTCCTGTTCTATTTTTGAAGTACTCCCCCTCCAGCTCCAGGTTTTCCCAACACCACCTAATTGCCATCTGGCAGTGAGAAATCACTGTTTTCCAGTAATCAGGACCATCACCCTGTACAGGAGGCCCCAACAGTTCATCCAAAGTTTCAAAGTATTAATGCTGCTCCTTGATTCTAGCTAAGTAGCTGCCTGCCACACCTCCTGCTTCCTGAGCCCCCGAAGTAGCCTGCCTTACCTTTGGTGTCCTGCATGACAATCGAGCTGTACTTTAAGAAGGTTATGAGTAGATTACTGGTCTGTACATCTGCATCCAGTGGGAGTTCCACAGAACTTATAACTGGAATAGAACAGATGAAATGTATTTAGCCTATAACATATTCTAAGACTTCTACTTACATAGCCAATTTGCCAGCAGACAAAAAATCACCAAATAAACTTTTTCCACGAAAGAGGGAGGACCAAGTGCTTCGCATTAAACCCTTAGCTACTGTTCCTAGGCCTCTAGAGCCCTTCCTACTCCCATGATTGGTCCCAAGACCAATACCTTTCCTGTAATATAGGAGAGCAGGTCTCCGGGAACAGTGCTTTTCTCCCAACATCCTAAAAAGGGTCTTTTGATTCTGCTTTTAGCGTCAAGTAACCCAAAAGTGTTCAGGGCCCTTCTTAAAGGCACTCTGATTTGTACCTAAGGGAAAGATCTGTATTGAATATAAATGAGCCTTGCTTTGATGAGTCTCCTGCTTAAAATAAATGACAATTCATTCCTAATAAGGAGAAATCTTGCTCAGTTTTAAGAATAAGACTTTAGGCTAGAAATACCCAAGATGGAAGGGAAAAAAGTTAAGACAGAATTACATGCAAATTCTACTCCTTAATCTCTTCCCCTGCCCCGGCCCCCTGAAACGGAACCTGAAAAAGAATACTGAAATACTGAAAACAGGTGGACACTATTGATTGGGATAGCCTGGAAACTGAGTTTTATACACCCAGCTACTTATCATTTCCAAGAGAAATTACCCCTTGTCCCCACTCTCTGAGCCACAGTTGTAATGAACAATGAGGGACCAAACCAGGGCTACCCACACAGAATCGTCTTTCTGTTTTTGTTTTTTGTTTTTTTTTTTAAAGTAGGCTCCACATCCAATGTGGGGCTTGAACTCACAACCCTGAGATCAAGAGTCTCATGCTCTATCAACTGAGCCAGTCAGATGGCCCCAGAACAGTCCTAATGCAGATATATCAAGTTTCTAAGACTTTAAATTAGACTTAGACATCTTGTTAACTGTTTTTACACTAAGACATAATATAAAAGCAAAAGGAGGCTCATGATGGCTCAGACAAGCTAGAAAATCTATAGCTTTCTGCAGTATTTTCACCTGTGAAGACTCAGCTGAGTTTGGGATATTACTCATAATATGTATTCACAACCATAGTGGATCCTTCTGGAGTTATTATGATGTATGCTGAGAACATTTATTAACAATGGGAAACATTTGCATATAATGGTTCCATAACACACAACAAGCACAACAGAAAGCCTTATGAGAAGAAATTAGCATGTCCAATCCTTGGCTGTTTTCCCACAGTTCAGCCTCCCAAAACTAATAAAAGACAAATATATTTTTATGTTCAAATACTAAAAGGTCTTAATTCACGTTATGGGTTAATGACCTGAGACTACTACTACAAGCCTATTTTGAAGCTCAGAGCCCATAATCATTCCTTTGTCCAAAACAAAGAGGAATCTAACTGGTAAGTGGGACTTTTTTCCCCACTCACACACAGCAGTAACTGGAAAAATGTCTTATGTAATATGCAGAAATATAGAAGTATATGTATTTTTAGTTTACCAGAAAGTCCTCTCATGCCAAGGCTGAGTTGTCAAATGTCAAGTCTGAGCTGGGAACAAATGTTACATCTAAACTCCTGGCTTTTAAAAATAATGGCTTCAGTGACATACCTTTAAATATAACTGGGCCACTGAGCACCACTATACATAATTAAAGACAAAAACCTGGAAACAAGGTTATAACGCTTAGGATCCCTATAGATAGGAAATGAGTTAGGAGAGAGGAAAAAGGACAAAATAGAAGAAATAGAATAAAATCCCTCATAAATTAAAATCCCCTTCTTAAGGAAGAGTTATTCCTTGATCTTTGGCTTCGTAATTCTTCCCAGCAGCCTCTGACAAGGGAGACAGTCATTTGAAAGTGGGCTGACTCCATCTTCCCACTAGAAAAAATGAAAGCTCAACTGGTTGTAGGTAAGTAAGCACAAATCCTGCCATTGCATAATCAAGTGTGTGGGTGGAATGTTCACAATGAACAGTTTGAAAGGCAGTTCTCTGAAGCATCCAAACCCCAACATCACATGGAATTCAGATATATGGATATATATA